CCTTTAAGCTGAGTATCATTCAGCCAACCATTTCCCAACCGTAACCGGGGCCGCTTGTTATAAACAAATCACCTCTGCAATTTTCTTCGAAACTCTAACCAAGACAGATTCCTTAAGATTTCTACAGTAAGATTCAAGGAACATTTGCGCGACTATTTCATGTACAGTCTCTATGACTGAAAAATTCGGGGCGTGGGTTTGGCGCAGCGCCTGCCCCTTTCTACCACTCATTGAACCACCACAATGATCGATGGCACACGGGCTGGCGCCGTGCCAAAACCCATGCGCAGCGGGCACGCCTCGACAAACTTCAGTGATAAGGAGTGCAACCATCTCATCATTTGACCCGCCATCAGATGGTTGTCTGACACAAGTGTTCCGTTTCGGACTCTCATTTGCTATCTATGAGAGTATCATGCAGATAAAAATATTCCTACTATAATAATCTATGAAATGATTTACAGAAGTCCACAAAAAATGGGCAAGGTTCCTTACAAGAAACTGCCTATAGACCTGTTCGAAATCTATATTGGAAGTAGAAACGTGCATCCAGAGATGAGTAGAAACAACTCCTACAAAATTGGGAAAGCTGTGAGTCGAATAAAAACTTCATTAAAGACACAGTGCACTCGTGAGGTCGACCTTATCCATAGGTGAGGTGAGCATTCCTGCAGGACGGTACCAGTTCCCTACATGAAGCGACAATTCAGCTGGAGAGTTGTGGCTGGGTTTCCATCGCGTTCCTGCTCGTAACCAAAGTACGCACCAGGCACGCAACACGCCACACGACCGACATATGTCTAGCTGTAGCCACGAACATTTATGCGGTCTACGGACAACTTGAACTCAATCCCTTTGAACGCGTCGATCTTCTCTTTTTCTCTGCACTCTCTCGTCCGCATGGCACTCTATGGCCGTTGTGACTTCGCTCACTCCAGCTTTTCACCGACTATAAGTAGCTCACCCACCCCGGAGTCCCTCCCCTTGAAAAATCCCGTTTCCTGGCTCGCCATACGTTTTTTGCACGTTTCGATGCTTTGGCAGCCGCTGCCCTCTATCCGTCTGCGTCACAGGGTTTCGTAACAGGACCATGCACAAAAGTTCAAGATGTCACGTAACCATTTATGCACGGAGGAGGGAAAAACTCACCCATGCGCGTATGTGGCGCGGCTTCTTCACGGCCGACGCGGCGGAAGGGCGGCAAGGCGATGCGTCCGCGTCTCCGGCGGCTGTGCCTTTGCAATCCAGCAGCCTCTTTTATGTGGAAGGAAGAGGAGGGAAAAGTAGAGAGAGGAAGGGAATTGAACAGATAGTGGGTAGATATGTGAGTTAGTGGTAGTGGTAGAAGATCACAGAAAAGTCGACTATCACGAATTACTCACAGTGAATGGCAGAACTGGCGGCATAGTTTCCTTCGATTGTGAAAACAAAGCAAGCAGCTTTCACATGAAAGTTGAAGCTGAGGTTTGGCAAATTGCCAACAGTCGGTTGTGACCTTATAACGCTATAACGTCACGTCCCATTCAGAAGGCGAAGCATTTCTGCGAGCTCCGCTGCTTGACTGACAATAATACGCTCTAATACTCGACTTTTCTGTATCCTCTGCTCAAAATTACCACTAACTCCCCTATGACCGTTCACTATTTGTTCAATCCTCTTTTCTCTCCTCCTCCTTCCACATAATGGGGCATAAAAGGCTTCTTATTGAAGCCAGAGTGGCGGCGCGCAAGGATCACCCTTCGCCGCAGTGCCGTGAAGGAACCGCGCCGCATACGCGCACGGGAGAGTTTGTACACGGAGCCATTTATGCCTATGTCTACCCTCATCTTGAATGGGGCGCTACCTCTTAGAGCTTTTTCGCTGCACACTTTGCGGCAGCGACGTCAAACATCTTGCAGCGGACCTTTTGTTGCCTCATGTCCCCGCCAGAGAACGAGCCTGTCAATACGCCCACCCCGCGACGGACATGCATATGCCGTGGTGATAATGGATGCAGAGCAGGGAGATCCTCTTCTTATCACCTTCCAGCTTCGTCCATGCACATGCCAAGCGTTGGGAGTGGGACAGAGTGGGACAATACTACCACCCAGCTGCAGACCACATCCATGGGAAAGATTAACTTTGCAGTGTATAGTGTGTTTTTATAACACTGTTCAATAGCGGTGCTTCATAATTGGAAAATCTATTTTGTTCAGCAGTTTGGTGATCTTGATCCCTGTTATGATCCTCATGGTGACTTGGCAATAATCGAACTCGACAGAGATATACCAGCTGAAGAAGGAACACCAATTTGTATGCCGAAGAGGAACGAGACCTTGCAAAAGAAACTGACTGCAGTTGGTTATGGAGTAACCCGTAAGAAAAAAATGTTGTTGATTGAAGATTTTCAGCAAAAACAGGTCAGGTGAAGTATTTCGCAACTCTCCTGGTGTTTTGTTTTCAGCAAATAAGGCCCAATCCGAATGGTACTGTATTGAACTACCTACAGTCAGTAAGCGTGGATTTTGCTAATGTCACTGAAGCAAACAAAGTTTTCACAACAATAACTAAAGGGAGATCAATTTGCAGAGTGAGTTCCATGTCTTCCTCGATTCCTTTTCAAATGAAAAAGCAAAGCATGGTAAGATTCTTTACGCGAGATGTTGGAATCTGTGCTATCATAGCATTTGTTATGGAATTCAATATATTCACAGTCATTACCCCACAACTAAGAGGACGTGTGAGGGAGCGTGCACCGAAATGCAGCCAAGGCAGCGTTCTCCAACAATTGCTGCATCAGGATTAGCATCAAGCTGCGTTCATACTCTGCGGCAGCGTCCGGCAGCGTCAGAACTAGGAAAGTATGGATATCGATCTAGCGTCTGAGAGCGTCCGGGAGAGGGTAGGAGACAGCTGGTAGAGTATGGGGAGATAGGAGGGTGGCAGACTGCTGGTAGTATAGCGACACGATGGTACCAGCTCTCTGCTTCTCTCCTATCGCGCCATGCTCTCATCTCCCGGAACCTGGTAGACGCTGGTGCACAATGGCATACGCTGGCAGACGCTACATCGATATCTATACTTTCCTGTCGCTGACGCTTCTCGGAACGCTGGTGGACGCTATTGGTCGCTGGTGGACGCTTCCGCAACGTATGAATAATTTGGTTCAGCCTAATTTGATCGGGAAAGGCCTCTCTGACCTGCTCCAATCTAGGCCCTCTCTCACGTCCTCTCACTTGCACTGATAGTGACTGCACTCGTGATTGCAGGGTGACAGCGGTGGTCCAACGGTGCAACTAAACAGAGAAAATAAATACACTCTTGTAGGGAATCACGTCCTCTCTGTACCCAGGATGTGATAGCTACGTTTCCAAATCACAAGGTGAGCCTAATTTAAGTACTATCAGGGTCAAGCAGGATAGCACGTCCATGAAACTACCTCGTCGGTCAGCCCTGCGGAAACGTGCAAATCAAGTAAAGTTTGAGCTGAGAAGTTCTCGAGGTGGTGGTCGCGCTTGGGAGAAGGATAATACAGTTGGTATCGTCGTTGTCAGCCGAAGGGGTGACGGGACATATAACGAGCCCACCAACAGCGAGTCATTATTGTTTGTACTCTTCCGGTCACCAATGTTAGAGCAGGGCAGCCGGAGACGGATTCGTTCCTTCTCCCCTCCTCCCTCACCCTCACCATGTTATCAACTAGATGTGCAGGGGCCAGTGATGAATAGAGCTGTGACGAAGC